TATTATATTATAATTATAATTAAGTTATTTCTCTATCTCATATTATAATAAATAATCACACATAAAAAAATATTAAATTTTTTTAATATAATTAAATTGAAAGTGGGTATTAAATTAAAAATGGGAAAGGGGACGGGTACGTGTACGGCTACGGGGTGGGTAAGTACATACTTGTACCCATACCCGTACCCGGTCAAACCGAGTATTCCCTGTCAAAGTCGGGACGGGTTCGAGTATTACCCGCATATACGAGTATATTTGTCATCCCTACATGTGAGGAGGTTTTCCAACAGTTCAAAGCATTTTTTTTGCCACTCCTCCCATCTGAGCAAACTAGATAGGGAGGTTGACCTCTTGCTATACTTAAACAAACATTGAAGGGGTTCTTGGTTCCCCTTAGTTCAAGAAGTTGGCAAAATGCATAAACTTATACAATTCATCAACAAAACTTTACATGAAGTTGAGATGATACCAAATCATTGAGAAACACCCTTTATCACTTGTATGACAGTCCAATCACAAGTGGAAAATCAATTTTTTACGTCAGCATTTTCTTATCGGTCATAAAAATACTTAACATAAAAAATACGCGGTGACATTTTTAAAATTAATCCAAACTTTTTTACGTCAGACCAAAGGGGGTCGGATGTAAAAATTAAAATCTGTCAGATATGGAGTACAGTCCGACGTAGATTTCAATTTTTACGTCGGACCCCTTTTGATCTAACGAAAAAGAGTTGTTTTATTTCCCCAGCACCTACGTCTTCTTCATATGCGCAAGTGTTTTTACATTGTTTTTCTCTCTAGTGATTTTCGGCGACGGTGGTATGAGACCTTAATTTGGGTGTTTTTCGATCACGATGAGCGAGGACGACAGCGACGGTGAGACCCATTTTTGATTTTGAACCTATCTCTCCAATTGGGTTGAAGCATTTCGGCATTTTCATGGATTGAGGTTAGTGCTTTCATGCGCATGTGTTGATCTTTCTGTGTAAAAAAATTGTTTTATTCCTGCACGTGAATGTTTTGACACTATTTTCCTCTCCACTGGTTTTCGACGATAGCAGTGCAAGACCTTTAGGCATTTTTCGTTCATGGTGCGCGGCGGCAAGACCCATTTTTTATTTTGAACTTATCTTTTCAATTGGATTGAAGCATTTAGGTATTTTTTAGATGTGTTCATGAATTGAAGTTTTTTTTTTGTTTATCAACCATTTTACGTCGAACGTGGTGGATGCTCGATGTAATTTTACGTAAACTAGCTAAACACCCAACATAAATTTATATTCCACATTAACGTCATACTTTTTTTTCGCCATAAAAAGTCCAAAAATAACATATAAAATGTCCATTTCCAACTAAGTCATAGTCATTTTAAACATTCATAATATAAATTGTTATATAATAACAACCTTTTAAAAAGACATTTTAATTAAAACTAATTTTCCAAACAGGCCGTATGTTGTTTTATTATTCACAACACATTGACCGTCCTTGTACTTTGTAGTACCCGTGGTCAAAGTAGGAGTTAGTTTTTTTCTTTTCTTTTTAGGTTAAAGTAAGAGCTAGTTACTTCAAACATTGATGTTGAGACAAGTAACGTTTTACAAAATAAGATGCCTTATTAAACAAAAAAAATTAAATAATAAATATTAATCTATATTTTCCCAAATTGGAATTGACCATCATGCCAATTTGAGACTGATTGTGTTAAAGTTTGGTAAAATTACTTTAATTAACCATTAAATATAAATAGAATAAATGTCTAAGTAAACTTCAATCATGAGTTTCATATTAAAATACGTGTCATGATAAGAAAAAAGTTACTCTAAATGTTTAGTAGATTAAAATATATGACAATGTGAGATGAAAAAGTTTACTTTCATGTATGCCGGTGAAAAGTTTTATTTATTTAATTGAGTCAAAATACTTCTTATATTTATTTAAATGTGTTTAAGAATTATTAATATTTATTAAATTAATTAGTACATTTAACTTTCAAATTTTAAGATTTTGAATTAATAAAAATAATTAATTTTTAATATTATATTTTATTATTTAAAAATTTAAGAATAAAATAATTAAAAATTTATGTATGTTAAAATAAAAAAATATTTTTATATATAAGTGTAGATAAATATAGAATACAAATTTTAATTAATTTGAAGGGGTATATATGATTTATTGAGATTAGGAAAAGGGAAAGATAATTATTAAAAAAAAATTGGACTACATATGTCAAAAATTCACTACTAACAAATATTATATAAAAATGTCTCATGGTGAAATAATATTTTTAAAAATTAGTTTTAACCAAATTTACTAACATTGAATTCATGTAATCCACTTTATTTAAAAAAGGATAAAATTGTTATTTTTATATTACATATCAATATTTAAAAATATGAGTAAAATATATTTTAATAAATATATTTTCTCATTGGAATTTATGCCGTTTAAGATGAGTACGAAATTTAAAGTGTAAATCAATCAAGTTAAAAATATCCTTAATTATTAATTCTTAGGTGGCATTTCTTCCTTGGATCGAGACGATTAACTAGCTTGCTTGTAGGTATTATTTTTATCAAACTAATAACTCGAAGGTACTTTATTTTTTTTATTCTTTTTTTTTTTTGTGGATTGAAGGTAGTTGAATATTCGTGACGTGGAGCATGGTGGTACAATCTCCATCATGTACAGTCCATATTAAAATATCTATTTGTACCCTCTTCTATAGTGATTGCCGTTAAATTCAATTTATTTTTAGGGTATAAATATGTACTTAACTTCTTTTTCTGTTTCATCACATTTATTCTTTTAATTTATTTTTTTTACTTTTATCATCGTATTATTTATTATATTTATTAATGTATAGAAGAAGAATTTTACCATTCATATTAATTCAACTTAACTTAAACAAAATTATTTTCAATAGATAATACATATGGTTTATACAAAAATATATTTGTTCTTTTTTTATACGCTGAAAAGTAAAAAATAAACAATGCTCTACTGTTCTATATGGTCCAACAACGTCTTGAATTATACAGAAACAAACAATACATTATTCAATAATGATAATAGCGACATACGGATGCTCATAGAAACCTAGTAAGTTATTCAACCACAATATTTTCATTTGAGTGTTTGTATAAATGTTTGAGATCAATAATTACATCATATAAATAATTAAAATCATTTTAATTAGATTTAGTATTAATTCTCCATTAAAATTATATATATAGTTTCACTTCTCATATGTTCTTATCTTTCATTTGGTACACACACATAAACTAATTCATTTCTCCTTCATAATTGACAACATTTCCATTCAATGGCCAAAATCAAAAACACGTAGAACTTTGTAGAATGCGGCTAAAGAATAAAATAGAGTTGCTTGCAGAGATTGGGCAAGTGTGACATACGTAGATATCAAAATATATTTGAAGGGAAAAGAGGAAGCTTCGTGGAAGGTGCGAAGGTGAGAAGAAACAAATGCATGTGCAAGTGCAAACATGTTAGTGGCTATTGAGAACGTTGAAGGGTGGTGATGAAGAAAGAGGTTTACCAGATTTGGATGGGACTACATGCATGCAACCAATTGATGGGGTTTTGGAGGGAAGTGATGATAACAATATAATAATAATAATAATGTGATACAAGTTGGAACCAAGTTTTGAACACTTCCAGATTTCTCAGTTTCTCATCATTCGTTCATTGGCCTTGATCAAAGGGTGGGCACGAAAATAAAGCTGAACAGTTTGCCTCCTTAGGCATGTGATGCCCTCGTGGCTGAGCCTGTGACACAGTTAGATATGTACATGCGACAAAACAAATTACGAATGTCTGGTTATTATAGAATAGAATATCAATGCTTGCTTGATTGTGCAATCTTGTGGGGCATTGAGTCTACTTGGGTGTAAATTTAGTTTCTTATTGATTTCTAATTATTTAAATGAGTTTATAAAATTATAATATTTAAAAAGAATGAATAAAAAATGAAAATACATGAAAAATCATTTAAAACTAAAAATGAAGAATCGATATTAATTAAACATAGAAAGGTGTAAATTCAAAGTCACTCGTGGATCCAATTAGTTGGAAGAATTGGCAAAATTTGAGAAGTACTGAGTGTTGTTCTTTCCTAATTAAAATTCAAGCAATATGTAGTGCAGTTGAAAATATCTTCTCTGATCATATATATTTTATGATTTTAAATTTGAAAAAAGAATCATATAAGGACAAATGGTTGCGGTCCCTCTACAACTACGACACTGTCCTCTATCACACGAGACAGTTGAACAGAACTGTGCTCTAATTCTACAGTGTTGACACAACAAGAGAGAAGATTGATGAATCAGAGGAAGATAAATATATATATATATATATATATATATATATATGCAACATATATCTAATAATATAGGGAGAAAAAAAAATCCATAATACATGTTATAGGCCAACATTAATTCTCTAAACAAATATTATTCAGCAAGCATGTTTGCCGACATTCTTATCCTGATGGGGTTTAGCCTACATCATTTGATTTTAGAAAACTAAGAAGAAAATATTTTAAAATTCATCAGTCATTAAATAATATGATTGAATTGCAATTTATGTTTAGTTTAACAATCAGTTATGGCAATGGCAGCTCCCAAAATTACAGTTGCAACTCCTATTTCACTATTGGGTTTATATTATTAATTAATACATACCCTCCAAAAAATGAAAATTCAGTACCTAATTTTACCTAAGATAAAAATAAAATAAAAAATAAAAATGTACAAAGTAGAGTTTTTTTTTCTTCTTCTACTTACATCGGTGAAAGTGTGAAAGGAAGTGAAGGACAGCATCTTGAGGAACGTGCATGCCTCTCCCCTACATGGTGAAGTAAAATTACGACCCAACATGGTTTCTTTGCCAAAACTCTTGAGCAATTTTTTGTGCAAACTGGTTATAGCAATATATATAGAGAGGATAAATAGCACTTTACTTTAGGAAATTTCTTACCAATTTCTGTGTCTTGGTTCTTCCCAGCATCGAGCGCTGTGGATGTTGATATTTGTTAATTTCCTCTTGTCTCGATACAAGGGAGATAGTGTTTTTTTATTTTTATTTTTATATATAACTATATATATTTCTTATCGGATTAACTTTTATAAAAATAAAATAACATTTTCAATTATGTCAAGATAGAAATCAAACATTAAAATTTAATTAAAGAATATAAATCCCCATCTATTTGAGTTAATAATTTTTAATAAGAAGATATTAACTTCAATTTTGGTTGGGAGATACACAACTTCAACACTAGTAGATTCATATATATATATATATTATAAACAATATTTGGAATAGTATAGGTTAGTTTACTTTAACTTTAAATTTTTCATCTTTTCTAAAGTGGTTTAAATAGATCAAAATAGTTATTATATTAAATTTTTATCACAATATAATTAATTTGACACATTATTTTTAAGTTTAGATTATTCTAAATTTAAAAAGTTTCATTCAGGTCTTTTCTAAAGTGTTTATTTTACGATAATCCAATGAATCTTGATGTTACTAACCGCACATCTGACGTGATTAGGATAGAGTGTGTCTAACTTGAGTCACATCTGATATCATGAAGACACGTTTAACGTGATGAAGATTTTGTACTTAACAAAATCTCATTTCTCCGTTCAAAACCTGCAAATTCCTCGACCAAACCAACATACATTCCAATTTACAACATATATATGGCCTGTATAGCTCAAATTCAAAATATAATGAACTTCAAGAATCACCAAGTTTTTTTCAAACACTAACACAAAAAATCAAAACTCAATTACAAGCCACCATCACATCTTGATTCAAACAAACAATCATTTATAATTATTTCAAACAATTAATCAATTACAACATAATAATCATCAATCACAAACTCCCCTTACATTGAATCATTCCATGAGAAGAAGGAAAGAAGATGGAAGAAGAACTCAAAAACTTCACATATGTCTCTCAATTCAAATTCTCAACCTCCAAACTTTGAATTCGACAATCTATTGTTAATGTTTAGCTAAGGAGAGAATTTCTAGGGTTCACCGAAGAATAAGGGGAAACAAACATCTTTTTTTACTTTAGAACTTATCTCATTAACTTTACTTAAGAATTGAATTTATGATGTTCACGTCTTAAGAAAAATCTTATATATTGGTTCATGACTAAGCTAACTAAGTTCTAACTAAAACTATTTCAACAATACTCATCTCTAAAAAATCCTTTCACCCTTAAAACTCTAAAATAACAATAATTACAACAATTAAACATATAAATCAAACAATTAATTAATAAAACTAAAACACAATATTACATAACACATTTCTATATATAAAATATTTGACTTTATTTACCATGAAATTTGAATGAAGAGAAAGAATATTTAAATACTTATAATTTTATATACTCATTATTAATAGTTTACTACTCACCCTTTCTCTCTCTCTATGTATATATATAATATCACTGTATCATATTTACATTTTCGACTCTGATGGGTGTCTAGACATTTTGTTTAGGTAAAGTCCATCACAAAGTATGTACTGTTTGTACCTTGCATATATTATTCAATGGCATGATAAGTAATACGTGTTTATTTTGACAGCCACTCTGTTATTTCTTATTCTGGTGGTCGTAGTTCGTCAGTTTTTGCTTCAACTTGGACAATGAATCCGCAACTCCTTGATTATGATATTTTAGTTTTATGCAAAACTACAGAACCCTCAGTTTGTGGCTCCCAAACTTTCTTATGCTTCAATGATTGTTGAAACTAAAATGCCATTCTACTCATTCGGAGTCGGACAAATTTCAAATAACATTTCTTCAGTTACAATTCATATGCGGTACCAAGTATTTAAGGCGAATCACAATAACTAATTTTTTTTCAGAGATATTGTATACACACACACACACACACATATATAATATATATATATATATATATATATATATATATACGAAAGAAATAATCACGATATATAATATAACTAACATAATTTATGCGATATAATTGCACCTTGTTTGCTCAATTGTAATTATCACACAAAAAGGACAAACAAACTATAATTTTTATTTATTTAACTTTTGTTTATTTGACATGTACATACATTCGGTGATTATTTTACTTTTAATCTCAATTAAGTCTATTCTTAGGGGATTTTACTTTTATTATGTTCTAAACAAATATTAGTTATTGCATAATGATTTTAAAAAATTATATATATATATATATTCACAATTTTTATAAATAGATATTTTTAAATATATAAATTATATGTAGATTTATGATAAATAATTTATATAAATTATGATTAACAAATCAAATTAATTAAGATTTTTAATAAATTAAAATAATTTCTCAAAAAAATTTATCCAAAACAAATTCCTACAATCACTTTCACATAAGAAAAAAATTTGTTTAATATATATTTAATATATAAAATTTGATTACATACATTAAATATAAATATTTCATTAAAAAATTAAATAATAATTCACTATATAATAAAAGACTTTTTTTTTCAATTTTCATTTGGAAATAGATTGAAAGCATGACTTTTGTAACTATAGTATTATGACCACATTTAACAGAAAATTTTTCTTCTAATTATATTTTTTTATTAGAAAATTTGAATACAAAATTTCATTTAAAAAAAGACAATCTAAGTTGAGTAACATTAGAATCAACGATTAAACAATAAGACTACTAGCTAGACTCAAAAACTCGACCCATATCACTGATAATATGTTTTTTTTATATATAGAGAGAGAGGGAGAAACTTCGGGGAAGGTTCCTAAGGGTTTGGCTCTGCTGAAGTAGCTCAGAGTTTATAAATACAGATAAGCTTGTTCATGACATGCAACATAGTTAGCACACAAGTGCGACAAGATAAGGATATACACTCTCGAGTTCGTGGTTTCCTAAGCACGAAGAAGAAGGCATATCATATCATATTTAGCATTTAGCATTTTGCATTGGCTTAGTTGTGTCCTTTAGGAAATGGGTTCTCATGAGACCGAGCCATGGCTTCTGGAGAACGGGAACCCGAAGGTGTTGACGAGGGAGATGAGGCATGGACGCACTGCACACAGCAGGTCCTCCATGTCCTTGCGCAAGAAGTCTGACAGAACCCTTGTGCAGAAGATTCGCTGTGCCTTACTCCGAGACCTCCTTTCCAACGTCCAAGAGGTTATTCTTGGCACCAAGCTCTCCATTCTCATCCCCGCCGTTCCCCTTGCCATTGCTGCTGAGATCTATGGCCTTGCAAGAGTGAGTCAACACTCAACATCCTCTCATCACTCATCACTCATCACTTCACTAATACATATATATCTTTCCTTCCTCAAATTCAAACATGCATCAATCCACTTAATACTATATTATTTAACCACATGGTCAGAGTTCAAACATCATGGATATATGTTCTTTCATGTCGTTAAAAGAAGTCAATCTTTCTTGATAAATCTTCTTACTGTGAGAGATTATAATCCTTGTTTTTATTAATATAAGAAAAACTGCATTAAGAAAAATTGAATATAAATTTTCACGTATATATTTCGACTTCGCTGAGAGATTGATTAGTATCTGAATGTTATTTGAACACTAAAAAATTATTTTAAAACTTTTGATTGGATATATGGTTGAAACCTTGTAGTCTCCTCGTCGTGGCAATCTTTTATCTATGGAAGCATAGTTAAAATGTTAAAAATGTTGAGTACTGCATTAGAAAATCATGGTCAACCAAATGATTTGATTTCGAGTTATTTTAAAACTACGGCACTGAATTAAATTATGATTGAGTAGGGCGGTTTTTTAATTATTAATTTGAAGTTTGTTTCAACTTAAGATGGTTACGTAAAACATATACAGTATTATATAAATTCATTCACTAATGTTCTTCATTAAAATATAATTAAAATGTTGCAAAGTGATTTCTCTATTGTCATTTGTCGCTATTACGTTATGAAGATTGACGACTCTCTCTCTTTTTTTAATTGTTAATTTGATATTATTATTGCAAACTGCAGCCTTGGGTTTTTATATTGAGCTTACTTGGGCTTACCCCACTTGCTGAACGTGTGAGCTTCATCACAGAGTAAGGAACCTTTGTTATATTTTTTTTTATCTTTGGATCATTTGTTATACAATACGCTTTTTTGTTTCTGGGTTGATTGCTGATTCTTGTTCTATTTTCTCTGTGGGTGATTCTTAAAAATTGCAGACAAGTTGCTTTCTACACTGGTCCCACAGGTATGAATCTTAAAATCAATCTTGAAGAGTTTATAGCTAATGTTTAATTTGGACATTGAGACAAACCATGTGCACTATATTTGTGATTTTGGAAATAGTAAAATCAAAGGGTTAAAACTTGAATATAAAAGCATGTTCCAACAAATTGCTTAGTGAAATTGATTATGGTATATCATTGCAGCTAAATCTTTTACATTTTCTCAATTACGTACAGTTGGAGGACTTCTGAATGCTACATGCGGGAATGTTACTGAGCTCATCATAGCAATATTTGCCCTTAGCAGTAACAAGATTGCTGTGGTCAAGTATTCTCTGTTGGGTTCTATTCTTTCAAACCTTCTTCTGGTTCTTGGGACCTCTCTATTATGTGGTGGCATTGCAAACCGTGGAGTGGAGAAAAAATATGATAGAGTAAGGCCCTAAAATATATTCATAATTTCATGAAATGTGTGCATATTTTTCATTAGTTCTGTATGTTTGTTTAATAATGAAACAATGACTAATGTTAAGCATTGAATTTGCAGAGACAAGCAGATGTGAACTCTCTTATGCTATTGTTGGGATTGTTGTGCTACTTGCTTCCAATGCTGTTCAACTATAGTGCTGCCTCACCTGCTCTCACAGCAGACCCTTCACTCTACTTGTCAAGAGCTTCTAGCATTGTCATGTTGATTGCATATTTTGCTTACATTGTCTTTCAACTTTGGACACACAGGGAGTTATTTGAAGCTGAAGATGTAAGTTTTCTTGATTTATGAAAATGGTGAAGTTGGTTTGCACTTAGGGCCGTTTTGGATAAATTTCTCCAAAAGCACTTCTAAAAGAAAAAAAAAATATAAAAGAAAAATGAAATAAGTTTCTCTATAAGTTAAGATTAACTTATCCATAAATTAATTTATAGAAGCTTTCTCATATAGCTTCTCCAAAAAATTACAAGTTAATTTGTACATAAACTAATTTTAGTTTATGGAGAAACTTATTTCATTTTTCTCTTCTATTTTTTCCCAATGATACTTATGAAATAGTTTATCCAAATAGACCCTTGATATAATTGATGCAATAATCTTAGAATTAACTATTAACATCATTAATTGGTCAGGAGGATGAAGATGGTAACAAAGATTCAGAAGAACAAGCTGTGATTGGATTATGGAGTGGCATTGCCTGGCTAGTTGGGATGACTGTATTCATTGCTTTGTTGTCTGAGTATGTGGTGGATACAATTGAGGTAATTGACATTAAATGTTTTTCAAAAAATGAACACCATTTTGATTGTTAATTTAAATAATAATGAAAAAAATTGTCATACTTAAAACAGGATGCATCAGATTCATGGGGTTTGTCTGTGAGCTTCCTCAGCATAATCTTGCTACCAATAGTTGGCAATGCAGCTGAACATGCAGGAGCAATCATATTTGCTTTCAAGAACAAGCTGGTGCGTTCTATTTTAATATTGGCCAAGCAAGAAAATTTTTTTATAAAATATTTATTCAGTTAAACTAAAGTAATGCCTTGACTACAGGACATCACATTGGGTGTTGCATTGGGTTCAGCAACTCAGATTGCCATGTTTGTGGTAAGATACAAACCTTTAATATGTAAATGGATTCTTTCATTTAGTTTTTTTTTTTTTCCTTTTACCCTTCTTTTTGAGATGGGGTGTAGTGAAAGCTTATGCATGTACAATATAGGTCCCTTTATGTGTCACCGTTGCTTGGATAATGGGTGTCAAAATGGACCTGAACTTCAACCTCCTAGAGACAGGTTCTGTTGCTTTGGCAATAATAGTCACAGGCTTCACTTTACAGGTATATTTAAAACACCATATTTTAATCCATATTTTCATTCAATCTCTTAATTGTACTCATAAGAATTGACAAAACCACCCTTATTTATATAGGATGGTACTTATCACTATATGAAAGGCCTTGTTCTCCTGCTATGCTACGTAGTTATTGGTGCTTGCTTCTTCGTACAAAGAACACCCTTGAGTAAGTAGAAAATGTCTAATTTCCAATGGTTGCATAAATAGTAAAAATCTATACCATTTTTATAAATTTTTATCTCATGCCTAAAATTTGATCTCTTATTTTTCAGACCAAGCTGATGTTACTAACTTCACGCTTAAACCAGCCACTAATGCAGTTTTAGGCGCTTAGTATAGGTAAGTGACAAGTTATGTGGCACGTACATATTTGAATAATCCTTCTTATGCACATAAAAACTCTAAAGTTAACTTTGGGAACTTGAATTGCAGACTTTGGCATATTTTTGTCCCTCCTGAGATGAAGAATGGTGGCATTCAAACCCAAACTAGATTCAATGGATTGGTTAATGTTTCATTCTGATCACTTTGTCCTATCCAGCTGAAAGAAGGGAGAAAAAAGTTTGCAAGTATTTTTGGTTGCAAGCTGTGAATAGAACACTGTCCAAAATGTTCAATCATACGTGTGTTCTTTCATAGAGTTGCTTTTGATCGAGATATTCAGTAGATGCCAAATAAGTGGAAAATAGTTATTGTTGTTTGAGTTTGCTTTAGCAATTAAGAATCGCTTTTTTAGTTTACACTTTGCAGAATGTCTTGTATTTATTGTGTTACTATTTGTACAATCTCTTGCATGGGACTGGTGGAGAGAGTTTTAAGGGTAATAAAAAATCTATTAATAATGTTTTGTTTGAATCTTTGACCATATATTTCCTTACCTATATAAATTATTGAGACTGACATCTAAAGTTTGAGTTTTGATTGGGTAAAGTCATCTTAAAAATATATAAATTTTAATTTTATAAGATTGAGTGTAAATTATATAATTGATGAAATTAAGTGAAGAGAAACTTATATGCATTTCTACAGAATTAATTTGGATTCAGAAGTCACACAATCGCATACCACCTTCCGAACAAGGTTTTACTAACAAAGATATGCTTGAGAACAAAAATACAAATTGAAAATGATATATGGATATATGTTTCTCAAAAGGAAGAGAGAAGATAGATTTTAACTTGGGAGAGGTGAAATAAGATATTAGAAACAGGAATGGAGGTAGGTAGAAATGAGTAAGGTCAATTTTCAAAATTCAAATTTATTGAACAAATATGTAAAATATAAGTATTGAATTTTATGTAAATATTTATAATTTTGTGTGTTTTTTTATAAATATTTTAGGGATATATAATAAAAATATATATTTAAATAAAAGATAAAGTAAATATAAATATTAATTGTTAACTTCATATATCAGTGTAATAAGCATCGTGAATTTATAATAAAAATTAATTAATCTAGATGTTGATTGTAAATTTTTACAAAAAGCTTATTAATTATATTATAAAAATTATTAATTAAACTAAATTATGTTTTTCAATTCGCCGTATAATTATCTTTTATAGTGATTTTTTTTGGTGAAAAGAAGGGACATGACCCCAATAAATTAAATTAAAACTCAAAGAAAAAAAAGTAAAACTTACATAAGCCTGAATAGTTAAAGAAATAAAAGGTATAGCATTATCAAAGATATGTAAATTATTTGTATAGTTTATCAACTTATCAATAACTTGATTAGCTTCACGAAGATCGTCGCATCACTCCAAATCACCACCCTCAATAGCAAAAGATTGAATACTTTGAACCAATCTAAAACATGGGTGACAAGAAGAACACTCATCTTGGATAAGATTGATTGTTAACTAAAATTGGGACTCCACCAAAAATTATGAATCCCCGATTTCAAACAATAGTCATACTAATGTAAATGGTCCACAGTTTAGTATTCACCATACTACAGAAACCAATATTGGCCGCAAAAGAAAAGAGAATTGTCCCACCATGATTGCAAAATACACCCTCAACTGCAACACTCTTATCTACAAGGCTAGCTGAAGCATCACAATTTAGTTTATTCATCCTAATAGGTAGAGATACCCAAGTTACTTTTATAGTGATAGAACTCAGATAACAATAGTTTATATATATATATATATATATATATATATATATAGTTTAACATTCAAATCTTTTAAATAAAATTTCATGTTTGAGACCATATTAAAATGAGAGACCATATTAAAATTTCATATATATATATATATATATATTTTATAAAGTAATTAAAAAATAATATTGTGTGAGATGATGATTATTGTTGGAAAAGCAAGTACATCTAAAGCAACTTGATATGTGATATTCTTATTCTCAAGATTACAATAATGTGGAGTTAGAAACAATGTTTTTAAAATTGGACTAATTATTGAATGAGTCTAAATACTCATTTACAGTTCAATAATTCAATTGTGATTGAATTATAATTAAATCGATATTAATAAAATTATTATTATTATTATCAATACTAAAATAATATTAAATAAAATATATTATCATAATTTTATAACACTTAAAATTATAATAAAATGATTTTATTTATAATTTTCAATATTTAATGTGATATCATATTTAAATTCTAAACAAAATATAGTATAATATTTAACTCTAAATTTTAATAAAATATAAAATATCCATTAATAATAACAATAACAACAAAATATTAAATAAAGGATATCAAATTAATATAATATAAATTAAAAAATAAAAATATTAAAATTAAAAATTAAGTATTAAAAATAAATTATTCAAATTTATAATTTTTAAATATATATTCTTATTAGAAATATTTTAAATTAATCTTTAAAAATTTAAAAAAAATTAATTGAACTGCTTCAACCAATTTTTTACCAGTTAATTTATTGTCAAATAATTTTAAAAATCAACTAAATTGGTTAAGAACTGATTCTTGGTCGAACCAATTTGACCAACTAATTTGATTCAAATCTCAAAACTATAGTTAGAAACATGTTATAAAAAATACAATGACAAAAATAATACAAGAAGATATTGGACAAAGAAAATATTAAAAAAATGATAAAAACAAAGAATAATTATAAGTGCATTTCATAGCTTAAGCAGTCAATCACTTATATAACATTTGTAAGTTTGTTTCCTTTACAAATTAAGATTAAAAATAAATAGTTCTAATTATGAAATATTTATAATAAAATCAATTAAAAATAATAATAAATTCATTTAATTACAAATGCAATTATTTCTAAATAGAAAGAAAAATATAATTATGATTATAATATAGACTATAAAAATATAAATAAATTTTTTTTAAAAAAAAAAGTGTTATTATCTTCATCATATATGTTATAAAAAGAGAATAAAATATGTCATCACAAATATAAAAAAGAAAAATAAAACTTAAATATTATTTCTACAACTAAACTTTCAAATACAAACCATCATCCTAGCATTAAAATAAAATATATATTGGTAAAAAAAATGAAAATTATGGAAAATTCTGGAAAGCTACTCCTCCTAGTTTCTAATGTACATCCGTCCTTCATATGAAAAAAATTTTCGTTCACGATGAGAGTTTTAATAGAAGAGATAAATCTTTTCTTTTATTTTTGTCTGATAATTGTTGTGTATAATTGTTATTTAATTTAGGTAATTATTAAATATATTTTATACTTCAAAATCTTATTTTTGTTATAAAATATTTAGTTAGGAGTTAATTTTATTTTTAGGATATAATTGTTTAATATTAAATTTTTTAATATTTCTTATGTTGAGATGTGATACAAGGAGAATATAACTTAGAAGTTGCAATAAGTCTAAAAAGAAATCATCTCTCTAAGATCAATTAGACACTCTTTGAACAACTCAAAATTTGTTCAAAGCACCCAACAACTCACTTTGAACGAGATAAATTAGATACTACACTTGAGAGAAGAAACTAACTCGTTTAAACAAGCAAAATGCTTACTCTAAATGAGCTAAAATTCGCTTAAAACGATCAAAATCTCACTCTGAGCGAGTAAAGTCAAAGACTTCCTTTTAGAAGAAGATGTTATCTCACTTAAGCGAGTGTAATACTCACTCTAAGCGAATAAAATTCACTTAGAGCAGTTACATGAGTGCTTTAAGTGAGTCAAATTAGAGACTATCTTTGAAAGAATTAAACAGACTCACTTGAGCAAGCTACATGAATGCTCTAAGCGACCATACACAACAGAAACCTATTTAAAATGTTATAAAATAAGTTTTTCTAGAGGTCTTTGATTCTTACATTTTACGAACACAATTTTAGAGTGATTAGAGAGAGTTTTGTGAGAGAGCATTTCGGTAGTCACAGATCACTTAATGATCCCTTCTTTATTGTGTAATCCTTAATTATAAGTGATTAAGTTTCTACTATTGAAAATTGAGGTAGTTACTATACTTATTTAGTTCTTTATGTTTTCATTCAATAAAAATGTTTTTATTTAGTTAATTATTTTATTTTATACTTAATGTTTGTTGTGGCTTGATCAATCTATGTATGATTTTATAATTTTAATTGAGATTGAAAAATTCTTTTAAAATCATGAACTAGGTAAAACATTGATAACACTTATTACTAGGAATACGATAAGTCTTATCAATCAAATTTAATTTTGGTCCTTGACTTTAATATAGGTTGTTTAACAAAAGTTAGTAAAGAATAAAAAAATTTCTTAAATAACCTAGAAAATCTTACCTAAGAAATTAAGATTTAAATGCAATTATGAATTGTTGAATTAATTGTATAAATTCTAATTTTTAATGAAAATTTAAAAAGATTTATATTTAAAAAGTTAGTGAAATTAATCTCTAACTATTCTATTACATAAATTAAAATTCTTCTTTAGTTATTGCATATTTTTGCTTTCATAATTTTATAAATTTTTTATATTTTATGTTGAACAATTATTAATTTTTGTTAGTTCCTCTGTTTAATATTAAGATTTAGTTAAACAATTATAACTTAATTTTTTGTAGATTCAATAACTTGAATTTCTGTTTAATTTATTACCTATATTTATTAAATGCGTAACATTTTTATTTTGCTACAAGGATGCTAAAAGATTAGAAAGATGAGAAAAACAAAGTCATAACCAAAACAACTATAGGATACAAAGTACTCATATATCATAGTTCTTTTCTTGTTTGTAACAGGTAGTCGTGTTCCTGTGTCTAGGGCGAATATTAATAGGCATATAGGTCTTTTTTTATTTTTTATTTTTAACTTTTGATACATGGATTTAATAAAAAATAAATATATTTTTTTAAAAGACACATTTTACTGAACACAAAATAATTTTTTTATTACTTAAATATATTTTTAGTCATCATAGTATACATATTTTATGATTTTAATCTTTGTAAGATGTTAACTTGCTCCCTATAAATTTATTTTATAGTTTTAGTCTCTAACGCTATTTATTAATAATGTGACAAATATCTATTAGATAAAATCAATGACTAAAATCGTAAAAGAATATTTTATAAGAATCTTATCAAAACTTTACATTTTATAAGGATTTAAAAAATAACATTAAGAATTAAAATTGAAAAATAAGATTTTATAGAGACCAAAACAAATCCAAAAAAATTATAGAAATATTTAATTCATATTTCTTTCTTCCATACTTAATTCAATAAATATAGATAAACAATATTATATGTAAATAAGTGTTTTATTTTATTTTATTTATAAATTTAATTTTCATTAAATTTATTTTGATAAGTTAAAATTACAGTATCATTGTAAAAAAAATGGAATTTGTTATTTAAGATAAACTTTTTTGAATTATTTTTAGGTC